GTATGGATTTGCCAACGACTGCTGTCAATGCTATCAATACTACTTACTTGGCCGAGTCAACTAAGCGGCGCATAAAAAACCAAAAAGTAAAGCAGCCGGAAGCGGAAAAGGCTTAACAGCTCCACTTACACCAGCACACACACACACACACACAAATACACTGCCATGAACGGCATAGTATAAGTAAGCGCATAATCATGAAAATTGTCAGTACATAATGCTCAAAGGCTGGGCGGAAAAGGTTTCTACTCGCAACTTTACTTACTTTACACGCTTGACTTTGTGTTGGTACGAGAAGTGCTGCCCCCGAGCCCCATTTCCCCCCCTTCCCCCCCTTCGTCCCTTCCCACGAACTGTGAAATTTGTAGAGCGGAAAGTAATTTTCTTTGCGCTTTTTATTTGCTCATTTTTATGGCATTTTCTTCTTCATGTGAGCCGTATTAGACGCTCGCTTGGTCAGCGTTGAACTCGTCATACACTTGTACAGTATTCTTGCTAAGAATATAAAAAAAAAGCAAGTAAAAAAATAAAAAACTTTCCCATGCCTAGGGTCGCACTTTGATTTTGTTGTCTGGCGTCCGTTTTATTTTCGAATTTCGATTGCTTTGCTGCTGGCGTTGGCAAAAAGCAACTTTTGCACGTCTCGATTGTGTAAAGTTTTTATGGCTTTTTGATTTTTTCACTTATTGGCTGCTGCCGCTGCTATCGACAGGCACGCATAAATGGCCACGAGGCGTGGACGAGGACGAGGACGAGGGCGTGGCAGTTGACACTGCAAATGGGCCAATGGGCCAATGTGTACTCTCAATTGCTGCCAAAAGGCACTTAAATAATTACAAAATAATCGAAGGCAGTTACTTTATGCGTCAGTGCGTGAATGTGTGTGTCTGTGTCTGTGTGTGCGTGTGTGCGTGTGTGCCACTCACTTGGAAACTTGACGATATGGCTTTCCACATCCTTCGATCGATGCCTGTCGCGCGCACTTTGCGCTCCAAGTGCCACTTCTGCGACAACAACTGAACTCTTTCGCTCGCTTCTACTTGCAACATTTAAAATCTCATTGAGAACGGTATGCAAATATTTGGAAAAGTGGAAATCGTCAAAGTGCCTCGTGACTGCCTGCCTTCTGTCTGTTTATTGTCACTTTGATTTGTGCCATTTTAAATATTTAATGGACCAGAAGTACTCACATTTGTATTTGTTTGTATGTGTGTATGTGTGTATGTGTGTAGGCCATAAGCACACGATTCTAAAGCTCGACACTTATTTAAGTGGCCTTTAGCTGTATGCTATATAGTATATAGAAGGTAAGGTCAAGGACAATGAATCTCCTAAAACTAAACTGAGCCAAGTTTCAGAGCAAAAAGGAGTTGATTAAACCCATTTATTTATGCTCCACTTGCATCGCATGGTTCAAAAATACTCGACAATGTTTAGAAGAATCTTGGGGTGATATTTGGATATATAAGAATTTGTAGATATATAATAATTGAATAAAATGCTTGCCCACTTGCATCGTTCGGTTCGTCAATGCTAGGAAGAGTCTTGGGTGGGATTTGGAAGGATTTGTACATATTTAGCGTAGCATAAATAATTGATATATAATGGAATAATCTACAATATTATAAATTTGTAAAAAATATAGCCTAATTAAAGAGATCGTTGAAAAAGCTGAGATTTTGCAGGTGCTTGAAAGATAAATAAAGTAAATACTGTCAAAAATATTATTAATTTCTTTAAAGCTTCGAATTCTATTAAGAAGTTACAGAAAAAAGGTTCAGAGTTCAAATCAAAGATATAGATATAAATTAAAGCTATAAAAAATATTCCAAAGAAATAATAAATAGGTAGCAGCAAGAAATCGGAAACTATACGGTCACTTGGGTTGACGATTTTGTTAAACGCCTAATAATATATTTATGACAGACTTAAGAACATTAGCCGACCCTCATTTCCAAAATATTAATGTAAAATTCGAATTAACTTTAAAATGTATGTATTAATGTAATTACTTTTAAAATAATTTCATTTCGTAACTTGCTGCTCTTATTTGTTTGGTGCTTATTTATTGGTTTTCTTTTCCAACTAGACTATGTTTTCAATTATTCTTGTATTGATTTCTAATTATCCATTTTAGTGATATATTCACTCTTATATAAGCTACTCACAATTATCAGCTAGAGATTGTAAATTGCTTTTTTAAAAAATATTTACTTGTCAAGAGTTGTTTCTGTTTTATGCAGAATGTGTTTATGCTTGAAGAGCTAGACATGATAATTGTACTTCCACACGAAATTATAGTTTTTGTGGCTGAGCTGTGAATATTTGATAACTACTAGCTGTTAGGCTATACATTTTTGAAATATATCGCATTTCAATCTCAATGCACGGAAAAGCAATTCCAAACAATTTTATATTCAATTTCACTTGCCCGCATTAAAGGCAATTGAATATACAAAATTGATTTACACAACAAATGCGCCACGCCCACAAACGCCCATACACACACGCCCACACACACACGCACACATCTACAATCACGCAATTAACTTATGAACTTTTTTCAATCAAACCCGAAAAGTAGGCAACAAAAAAATGGACACGAAAAACCGCCTACACAAATATTCAAATGAATATAAATTAAAATTGAAAAAATAAATATACATACATATATATGTATGTGTAGAGTGAAATAAAAAGAGTGGCAACATTTAAAATATTTACTGTCGTGCATTGTGGAAATTGTAAAAAATTTCTCATATGCGCAATGCAACAACAATAACAACAAATTCAATCGTATTGCGCACAATACATGAAATTTATTTAGCCTTTTTTTTTTTAGCGTCGCCAGAAAAGCGTATTTTTTGTCTTGTTTTGCATTGGCATTTGTGCAAATGCTTACAAACGTGTTTATTTTTTTAATTGCTCGTTGATTTTTTCCAAAAACATTTTTGCATATAATTTAATTTTATTTATTACGCGCAAAAAACTGCACTGTGCGTAAAAGAGAGAAATACAAACAAAAGGCGAGCGTGTAATAAATTTAAAATATTTCATGCATTTTTATTGTAAACGCGCTTACATTTGCATTGATACCATTTCTCTCCTCCGGTCAGTACAATACTGTATAGTTTTTGTAGCTTTTGTTGTTGTTGTTCTTGGTACTCTTTTACCACACTTGCAAATTCGTTATCAATAAAAGTTATTTCGTACGAATGTTTGTGCATTCATTGGGACCTGAAAAAACTTGCTGCATTGCAAATGGTAATGAAAAAAGTTTTCGTTGCTGTTCAGATATAAAAGTTAAAATAAAACTTGCTTTTGCTTGCTGTGCAATTTTTTATTCACAAATATTTCACACGAAAGTGCAAAGTGTATTTAAAAAAATAAAAACACAAAATTTTATAGTTAATAAATGAAATTGCTGTTTTTGTTTTTAACTGAGTGTTTGAAGTATATTAAAAGATTTGATCAAAATCCTTAACAGAGACATCTCATTGAGAGTAAAATATTTATACTACAAGTATATGTAGATGAAGCTAACAATTTTTAGCTCGAAGTGCATTAAAATAATTCAAAGAATTGTTGATTGAGTTTTTCTACATTTGACAGAATTTTTTAATGGCAATTTATTATTATAATTATTTATTATTTTTATTAGTGGAATGGGCACTGAGTAGAGTAGCTTCACAATTCTTATAAAGAGAGCAGTTTGCTCGTTAAGGAAGATCCATGTTTTGGTGAAAAATAAATTTTGAAAGCTTTCAAATTTCTTCAAAAGAAACAAATATTTCTTTTTTTTCTTGATCGTGCGAAACGTTTTATTGACTGAAATGCATATTTTTGGACCGAAACTTTCAAGAAATAAGCATAAATTTCAACACATTTGTATACTTCTTGTCCTTGTCTTTGTATAAAGCAAGAGTTAGGTTGATAAAAAAAAACAATTTTTGAAGACATAATATTCATTTGAATCACAAAATGAACATACTTGTAAAGATGTAAGTATTTTTACTTCAAGCCAACAATCATTGATGAATAGTAGGAAAAGGCTCCATTAATTAGGCTTCACACTCATGCTGTGAACAGTTTTTATTTAAATTAAATTTCTAATTTGTTTCCTTGCTGTGTGAAGTTCATTGTTTATGGCTATAAACAATTAGAGTGCAAAAACTAGGCCATTAAATATTTGCACAGTTGGTACACATCTAATAAAACAATTAACAAACGGCGCGGAAAAGTTTTGTGCCACATTTGCTTTTGCATAATCATGCTGTCTGCTGAGTTGTAGAAGCTGTTTGTAAATAAGTAGTAGAAATATATATAATTGTATATACTATATATATTATGCATGTAGGTGTGTGTATAGTATGTTTTGCAACTGTTTGTGTTTGCTTTTGCTTTTGAATTTGTTGCTGTTGTGGTTGGGGAAAAGTTTTGTGGCTCTCACAACAATATGCGGGCGCCATATTTTAATATTTTAGCATATTAAATTGTAAGCAAATGACAACAAACTTCAACTCCAACTGCTGCTGCTGCTGCTGCTGGGTGGCGATACATTTAAGTATAGCTGGCAAATAAGTTGTAAGACAAAAAAAAAAAACACCAAATGAAATGAAATAAATAAATAAACAGTCCGCGGAAGTCGCGCTTTTGGCTGCTGAATAAACAATGTTTACATTTTCGTTCTCGAACTCAAATCGGCTTAGATTTGCGTATGGACTTTGATGTTGGATTGGACAGTCATTGCGCAGACAAGTTTGCTCAAGTCTTAGTCAAGCATTATTCATGAAAGACAGCTGCTTTGCGTTGAGTGAAAACTATTTGGAAACAATTTAGAGCAGGCAATTAGCAATTGGCAGCGATGCAGCCACGCATAATTAGCCAGCTTCTGGTAGGGTTTTCGGGAGCATATAAAAGCGCAGGTAGCCCGGCTTGAATCAAACAGTGCCTCAACAGCTGCACAAGGAAAGCCTACAAATCAGAGCAATCAAGCAACCATGAAGTGCTTCAATATAATTATACTTCTGCTCAGCGTCTACTGCCAACTTAGTTCCTCAGTACCCGCCTTGCCCGTCCCAACTGGCCGCTACTGCACCACGGCCTATTGCCGTCAACGCAACCTGGCCTGCAACAACAAAGGCGTAAGTTTTGACTCGTAAGATCTCCTCCATAGTGTATATGATTCAATTCTTGGTGCAGAACATAACGTCGGGCTGCTATTCGGGCGCTAAATTTGTACTCATGGGAAAGTACAGACAAACCATTTCCAAGGCCTTCAATACTTTTCGGAACAAGGTCGCTTCAGGGGACGACTACAAAAATCTTCAGTCAGCTGCCCGCATGGCCACAATGGTCTGGTCCGAAGAACTGGAACACTTTGCCAAGCTGGACGTGGCCCGCTGTCATCTGTCCCCGAAGATGTGCATGAGTTCCCCGAATTTCTACTACATTGGCGTCATCAGCGAACAGTTCAGTTATGGCGGCTATGCCGTTGACAGATCGAACTTTGTCATCATCAAGTCATTGATCGAGAGCTGGGGTAAGGAGGTGCTCAGTATTCGACGCCTCGACACTCTGCACTTGCCCTACGATCTGGCCAGAAGGTGGGTTCTAACAATTGAGCTCAAAGCATTCCCATAACATGAATTCCTACTTCAGGAACATCTACAAGACGACTCTGCTGCTCAATGAGCGCAACTCGCACTTTGGCTGCGCGGCTCTGCGATACTCACACGAGCTCTACCACCACTTCCTGCTCAGCTGCGCCTTTGCCACCGACAATCTGGTCAACGAGCGCATCTACCAGTGGAGCGCAAGGCCCGCTGCCCGTTGCCGCAGGCCCGATCGCCTCTACAAGAGTCTGTGCGCTCCCGGAGAGAATTATAACAATCATAAAATGGTCAAGGGACACAGAACGTTCCTGCGCTCGCTGCAAGAGGACTTCTAAATGTTTTTGAATAAAGTGCGGTCTGATAACTAAAAAAAACCCTTTTATTTATTTAAAATATTGCAAGCTACATGTCTGGGGAGTAGTTTGTAGAAATTGAGTTTATTTATTTATACAATTTTTTTTTTTATTTCCTTTGTACTCCACTTGGGAGCTTAGGGCTACTACAAGGACATTTTTTCCAATCTTAACACTCTCTATTTCTAGCCGTCTGTCTGGCTGTGTCCCATTTGGTGTTGTTGTGTCTGGGAGAATTCCTGAAGGGTGCATCCGCCGCCAGGTTGCCGTCTTTTTTTTTTTAGGTCTGCCGATCCCGTCTGCTTCCTTGGGGGTTCCAGCGCCATCCTTGACATCAGACATCGAAGTAGTGGGAGTCCTTTTTGGATTCAGTTGTCTTGTAGTAGTTTCCATAATCATGTAGTTGTCAGTCGACCTGGTGATTGGCCAGATGCGACTTATCCCAGTGGTGGGGCTGCCACCTGTCGCCGCCGGGGAGAGACGTCTTGGAGGGTTTTAACTATTGTGCAGTCCAGATAGCGTGGATGGATGTGTTTTTGGGTGGATAAATGACCACGACGTTGAAGGCATGAGCTTAGGAGAGTTTTTTCGAGAGGAGAAAATTTAGGTCATGCTCTCGCCATGAGTGGGGCTCGAACCCACGACCTCTTGTTTGGTGTGCGCATGCGCTATCCACTACGCCACCGAGGCCCCTAATTTATACAATTAATGTTATTAATTAAAGTACCCAGAAGTGGGCGCGGTTGCAGCAATAGAGTCACCAATCCATGTTCGCTTAATCCTGAATATATTTATTTATTTATTTAAGAGCTAACTTAATAATAGTAAAATTATAGGCTAGCTTATTTTTTTTTAAAGCTATGGCAGCAAAGGCCTTCAGCTCGTTGGATGTGTGTGGTTTTTATGTTAGTTTTCCTATTTACATGTATTTTCTTGTTTATATCCTGAATATATAGTTTATCAAAAAGCATGAAAGCTACTAATCAAAGTTTGGCATCTAAATTAATCTTGTTTCTAGAAAGTGTACGTTCAGGAATCCTTTTGATCTCCACTCTTCCCCTAAAAAAAATTAAAAAAATTAATTTTGTAACTAAATTAAATTAAGCTGAATTAAATTAGATATAAATATGTAATAACTTAAAAGTAATCTTGTACTTCTAATGCTAGGATAAGTAAATAAAATAAATAAATGTCTTGAAACATTCTTTGTAACACCTCTTATCCTAGAAATTTTGACCTCAATTTTTTTAATTACATTCTTTTTATCAAGCATTTTACTTGTCTAGTATTTCAAAATAAAGAAGAATGAAATTCTTAACTTACTATATTTATCTTCAATTTAATACTTCGTTTAATATTCTAAGCGCTTGAAAAATAATGCAGGACAACGTCTGCCGGGTCTGCTAGTTTTATATAATACATATTTAATATAGCACTATAAAATCAAATATATTAGTTCGTGTTTTAAACGCATTTATAAATAGAAACTCTTGGCTTAGCATCGAAAGCGAAAGGTACCTCTTTAGATCAGCTTTCCAAGTTGTTATCTGCTCAAAAAATTCAAGTTACCCAAAATTAAATACTTAAAATGTTTCCTGGCACTTCTTCACTAAAGATTTTATTATTCATTTATTTATTTATACCAAAGAGCAAAAGTTGAATTAGTTGCAGAATTGTTCGTCTAAACATTGAAATAATATTTTATTTATAAATAATAAAAAACTGGTATAAAGCTAGTTTAGTATTAAGTCATTACTCTTTTTGGGGTTTTTGTATAATTTTATTAATTGTTGTTAAGCTTTTAATATTTCTCCATTTTCAGTTAAGTAGAAAAGGCTATTTAAGTTATATTTTCTCACTTGTAAATGCCCAATGTTTTAAGAGAAGCGAATACATTAATATTGAATTGAAATAAACCCATTTGAATTGAAAATCTACATATATACTCTGTATTTTTTTTTCCAATTTTTTTTCTGCTATTACTTATGCCAACTGACTCATCTTTGTTGTAAGTGTTTGAGGCTCTTTGGCGCTTCACTTACAAATGGTCTGCCAAATCGTGTACTTAAACATCGCCACAATAACTCTCAGCATAACTATTATGTCGCTGCAATAAAGCATACGAAAGTACGCTGCAACGTCCTCTACATCATCATCATCATCTTCATCATCATCATCGCCATCAGCGCGAGAGCCTTTGGCATGCCCAGCACGAGCAACTGTCCCTAAATCAGCTCGTGGTGTGCTTTAAATATTTAATGAAACGCCGAATTGGCAATGAGACGATGGCGGATGACGAAAAGGTTGCAAGCAAAGAGAAAAGAAAAGAGAGAAGAAAACCAACCAAAGTGTATTGCATATAAATAATGTAAAAAGTGTGAAATGCGCCTAATGGCGTGCTACGAAAGGCAAACGAGGACCTCAGATGAAACACTGAGGACTGAGGACTGAGTACTGAGGAGCGAGGACAGCGCTGACAGACGATGTCTTTGCAGGCGCATGAAATGGCGCATAAAATGACAATTGGCAGCTGATGTTACCATGGCCAAGAGCCTCTCTCTCTCTCTCTCTCTCTCTGTCTCTTTAGTCGCGCAGAGTGTTTGCTTTTATGCTTGCGGCGTCATAAATTTTAGATAGAGCGCCTTTAGCGTGGCTCAGAGTCTCCATTTGGACTTAATCTATGTAGCATTTGAAATACTTTCCTCCATCCGTAGTTTCATAGACAGGCAGTATATAGATAGGTATAGGAAAAAAAAACATTTCCAACTAAACATTTCAGTCACAAAACATTTTCGCTGCATGTTGCTTTCCCGGCTAGTTAAAGCTTTATATATTTTTAATCAGTAATCTGAATGTGCTTGCCCAAGCCAGGGACAGAGATCGCCCAGAGAACTTCATCCGCATGGCGTGCAATTCGTGTCCCAAACCAGATGATCCTGAATTTCCAGCATGTCTGGAACGCCATCCCGGCATCTGCACCAAAAAGAATCCGGGAAATGTGCAATCTTTGCATTTGCTCGCCCATCGTGTAATGCCCAAGTTCTTCGATGGCATCGAGCTGGACTATTACCACAGATTGGCGCCGAATAAATATATAACGGCCGCCTGGGTTCTCAGTCATGTGCGTGCCGCAGGCTTCCGATTTGGCGGCATCTACACATTTCGCGTCCAGGATGATGTCATGGTAAGTTTATCTTTGTAAAATCAAAATCAAATTAACTCAAGCGCTGGTTTATTGCATTCTTAGCTGACGCCCACCATCATTGGTGACATACATCCCACCTCGCTGGCCTCCAACTTGAATATTTTGTACTATCCCTTCAAAAATCTACGCATGGAGGCTGTGATGCAAAAGGCCAACGAGGAAACTCCCGTGGAGACGCAGTACACGGTGGAACTGACACGGCCCTGCGACACCTGGTCAGCCAATTTCTATAATGTACGCCAGGATAATGGACGCGCCACCTTTTCAGTGATGCGAGCCATCACCTTGCATTGGGCCATTGGGGCGGAGCTGCTGCTGGAATGGAATGAGCCCAAGAATCTAATGACGGATATAGCCATTGCAGCGCGGTAAGCAACGACCTACTTCCTTATCTTAAATTTTCCAATCTTAGATCAAGCATGGTTGAAATACAAAGATACTTTTTAAATACTCTTGGACAGATTGTAAATGATTGACGGTGATTGGAATGGAAAGCCACAGTCTTTAAACTTTTTGAATATATTCTTAAATAGACATGCGGGTACTCAGGAAAAACTGATACCTCTAACGTATAGTATTTTTTTTAAATTTTCAAATGGCATTTGGGAAAAATTAAAGGTTAAGAAATTTAAAAAAACTCCATTAATATTGAAAAGCATATAGTTTTAAATTGAATTCGACAACTTTATCAAAACAGCAGTATAATATAACGAATTTTTTTTTTAAAATTATACTGTTATATTTATAACTTAAAGTAAACTTATAGTAAAACTAGGTGTTTAGTCTTAATTACAATTTAACATACAACGAATATAGAGAGAATATTTATCAGATGGTATTCATCATGTTTTATATTACATTTTCAAAAAGCATTTTCAAAGCGAATTCATTTTTATTAAGCCAACAATTTCAGTGGAAAATGTTATATTTAAATTTCGTCTTAAAAGCAGAAAAGGCCCAAAAGTAAAAAGGCACGCGAACAATTATTTCAAAAACATTGGTTTTGAAACATTTTTTAAACTTTTTAATTAAACTTTTTTTAATAGGTGGGGACGTGAAGTAGAAAATTAATTAAGGAAAGAAATAAAGAAGTATGTTAATGTAAAATATTACATTGTGCAAGATTTTAAGATTGTACCACAAATAATGTCAACATTTTTTAAAACGAAAAAGGTGGTTTGAATAATATAATAATATACCGGAAATCTTTGATATACCAGTCGTTCCCACCGATTTCAATGAAAATTCAAATTAAAATGAGTCAAGTAATATTAAAGTGAAGAAGTTTTTACGATTCTAAAATAATAAGTCTTATGCCAAATTTATCTGCTTACGAAAAAGCCAAGTCTTTAAACCAAGTTTGATGCCGCTAGTTGTTGTTGTTTAAAGAATTTCAGACAGATGGATGGACAGACGGGCTTGTCTCCATCATTTAGTTTCGCCATTTTTCATTCCTTAGCATGGAATTGTCAACGCCCGTTTCTGCTTGTTTAAGTCTTTCTTGTATAGCCTTTTATACTCTATATTTAAATATTTATTCTTTCCACTTTTTGGCTTTACATTCAACAATACTGTCCTATATCGAAATTCTCCATTTTAATTGCCTATTCTTTCCTATTCTAACGAATTCGCTTCCCACCAGCTATTCGCATCACCATTATTCGTTCGGGGCCACAGTCTCACGTCAGGGCCTCGATGTTAGCTATTGGCAGCGCATACATCCCCAGATCCAAATGGCCAACCTGCTAGCCTGGAACCGCAGCACTCGTAAGACGATTGCCACCATTTGCTATCAATGGAATTTCTGGAGTTGCGCCGTGCACGGAATGCTGGACTCAGACGCATCGGTTGGCTTTATGTGGACCAAGTACGTTCTAGAAATGTTGAATTCTATATGCTGTCTTCCTATTGGCTTTTGTGCTTACAGGTATCTGAGTAATTTACCAATACAAATGGGCTTTAGCGTGGTCATGAGTTTGCCAACAGATCGTTTTGCTTTCGGCATGCGTTTTGTATTGGATCCGAGCGGATTGCGTCGAGGCGATTAGTGTGTAAATACTTAATTTATACCTTAATTTTTACTAAATTAACAATTGAATGTGCAGTTAAATAAATGTTACAAGTTCAGGCATATAAGTACAAAAACAAAAAAATTAAATAAAATGTTAAGTTGTTGGCAATAAACTCAAAAAAAAAAAAATTTAATTTTATTGAAGACTGAAGAAGACTTAAAGAGGTGTGTTTCAATGTAGGTCACTATTTAATTATTAATTAAAAAATAAAATAGTTTAATTTAATTTCCAAATTAAATTTATTTCTTAAAAAACTAGGTAGCTTCAAAAACGAATAATATTTAAATTCTAATATAATATTAGAAATAATTTTTCTACATTAATTTTTACAGTATATTAATTCTTTGAAAATCGAGAAAAATACATATATAAATTTATTACAGAGAATTAAATTAAATTAAAACATTACAGGGAAGTAAATTTCCGTTAAAAATTTTAGTTTTTAAATTATTGAACATTTCTTTCACAATTAAACTATTAATGAAATAAAACTAAAACATTAAATTATACATTTTGTTTATATATTAATTATTTAATGCAGGATTTTTGAGAGTATTGTTTCTTGCACTATAATGCTCATCACGATAATGTCCAACTTCGGCCGACACTTGTGAGTGATTTTTTGATTCCACAAAATCGCATTTTAAGCCTCAACCAGTCTCGATATTCGTCTGATTTGCCAGATTGCGGGCTTTTCTTTTTCAGAAATATTTATAAGGTGACGAATGGAGAGCTATTTGTGGATATATACCCCACACTGATATTCTACAGACCATTCTGGTCGACAGGCTAAAACATTTCTTTTACATGCTTTTAAGTCGTGCAAAGCCGTGTCCTTGTATATATTTATTTTGAATGAATTAAATTGATGTTGGTGGGGAAATATTTGAATATTTTAAATATTCAAGAGCTTACACAAAGCTATGGAAGAAGAGTCTGATTTACAAAAAAAGGAAAAGTTAAAGTATTTGATGAAAAATAGTGAATTGGTCATTTTTTATATTTAATTTTTTTGGCTTCCCCATTTGGCTTTGACAACAAAATACGTGGAAAAGCGAGAAATATTTGAGTTTGCGGTTCAATATCAAATATGGACAAACTTCACAAAAACGAATTTCAAGGTCTACAAAAAACAAAAGTTTCGTTAAGTTTTTTGACAGACCAAATGCTTTTTTCACTTTTTTACGAATTTAAATGAAATCAAAATAATAAATGTGAAGTATGTAAATAATATTTGAAATATTTTGCTTGGAGTTTAATATTAAATGATTAAAAGTGGTCAGCCAATAATATTAGATACCAATATTGGAGTACAAGTATTTAAACTAAGTGCAGACAAGAGCAATTTTCTTTGAGTCTTAAGACCTAAGCTACTTTTCTTAGTTGATCAAGCGATTGTACCCTAAATGTGAAAGAGTATACTAATAACTTTTGTAAGCCCAGCTTTAAATATTTGGATTAGTTTGATGCTTAATTTATGCTTCACAAGTAGAATAATTTATACATTTTAAAGTTTTGAATTAATACGAGTATGTGGGTGCCACAAATGTAAATGCAATGTAAAAAGTAATAATAAACAATTAAATGAAATGTAAGGTCTTACACATCATTAGCTCTGATAAATGTAATCTTCAGAATATGTTCAAAGAAATGAAACGGCAAGTTTTCCTTCTTCGTTGTCGTTGTGCGATTACAACTTTTTCTCAGCTTCACACATGTGCGAGAAATTGAAAAACAAAAGTCTCCCGCGTCCCAAATCGAAGGGAAAAGTATTCGTAATGGGTACAAAGAGCCACAGTGGTGCATATTAGAAGCCCCACAGATAAATGCGAACAAGTGCAGACTATGTTTTTGGACACATTGTTGCCGAAAGCCAAGAGCACGATTTTTTGCAATGCATTTGATTTATGCGCAGTGAAGTCTAGACACAGTAAATATTTTTTAATGCGCGCACACAAGAGCCACTGAACACACACACATACACACTTACATGTATATAGTTCTTGCAGGAGCAAAAATATATATCTTAAAATAAGTAAAATCTACACAATAAATTTATAAGTTAAGCGCGTATAGAGAGCGTTGAGCGCCTTTAGCAACAACAACAACAGTGCTGATCTCAGCTGAGTTGCACATAATTTACTTTATAATGGTTGCTAATCCGCTTAGACCAGTGGCCGGCAGGGCGCAGGATATGAGCTGAAGAGCTATCCTTTATGCAAATGACTGTACAGCTGACCCACAAAAACGTTGCTGGCGAAACTTTTGCGAAATTGATTTTGGGGCCACAAAAAACTTTTCAATTGATTTCTTGAGCGCAAACATTAGTGTGAGGGCTCGTACATAGACTATAGAGTCGTCTATAGAATGTGGGACCACATTTGTAAGGCAGTTTTGTTTCAGCATTTAAAGCAGCAACGTTTGTATTCAAAAGCAATTGTGGCACATATAAGCCGCTTTACACTGCCGCACAAAGGCACATGTGTGTGTGTGTGTGTGAGTGTGAGGGTGTATTTGTGTGGAAAAGCCAAAAACTTTATATGAAAGTTTTCAATAATTTTCCTTCGCCCACAACATACACCCGCACGCATACGACACTGATAAAAAGCAAATATTAATATTTCAATAAATGCGGAAAATCCTTTTACTTTACTTACCGTTGGCAGCACCATTTTATACCCTGTTCACAAAAGGCCAAAAGAGTATGCTAGCTAAGCGCCAATGTGTGTAAATTCCAATAGATAGAGATGTCGAATAGAATGAAGAGATTGAAAGAAGTATAAGAACTAGAAACTTAAAACTTTGTATAGATTCGTATGCTTGAGATACGACAAATTTCTGGTTATATAGTTTGGGTAATTCTGATAATCCTATACACATGTGATTCCTGCTGATATCTGAACTCTAAAGAAAGTTGTAAACATTGATGTAATCTCCATTTTAAGCCATCTATGTATACTATTGGATCTTAAATGTACATAAACACATGCTAAATATATTCATGTTTGATCATCAAAAAGACTAAATTAATACAAAATAGTAGAAAAACAAGATAGAACGCTACAGTCGAGCAAGCCCGACAGTAAAATAGCCTGTACTCTCCACAAAAAAAGAAAAATTAAAAAAAAAAAAAATTAAAAAAAAAATTAAATTATTAAAAAAAATTAATGAATTAATTAATTAAATTAAATTAGAATATATGTTTATGTTTAGTTTTAACAGCATACATTTACATCACGTACCTATGCGTGTTTATATGCGTGTATGTATGCAGCACAAAGTTGAACCAAAGCAGCAACAACAACAACAGCTGCGGGCAGCGCTGCCGACAGAGCTGCAGGCAGCGCATGAGCAGCGATTTTACTTATGGCTATAACTTTCTTCAGAATTGACCTATCATGATGAAATTTGGCACACGGACACATTAGTACTAACTGGATGTACCTACCAAAATTGATTTCAAAATTCCGAGAATTACGGAAGTTATAAGAAAAAACACGAATTGCGGGGGAGTGGGGGGGTGCATCGAAAAAAAACTCAAACTCGTACTTTCTCGGTCTTAGGAGAATATGGAAACCAAGTTTGGTTATTCTAGCTCTTATACTTTCTGAGATCCTTGCGTTCATACGGACAGACGGACAGACGGACAGACGGACAGACGGACAGACAGACGGACAGACGGACGGACGGACGGACAAGGCTATATCGACTCGGCTTCTCATCCTGATCAAGAATATATATACTTTGTGGGGTCTGCCACGCCTCCTTCTGTGTGTTACATACATGTGCACAAAACTAGTATAGCCTTTCACCCTTTGGGTACAGGCTATAACAAGAAAGGAATGCTAAAGTCGAGCAGGCTCAACTCTTAAATACCCTGTACCACCCCACAAAAAAGTAATTAAATTAATTAATTAATTTAATTTAATTAATTAACTAAATTAATTTAATTAATTAACTAAATATTAACTAATTAAATATAAAATATTCCATGCATGCATACATACATTTACAATTACATCAGAATCGTGTCTATGCGTGTTTGTGTACTTGTACATATGTATGTATGTGTGCATTGGGCCTGGTTATATGGCTATAACTTTCTTTCTGATCATTCTTTCATAATGAAACTTGGTATACGGATATATAATTACTAACCTAATGTGACTACCAAATTTTAGTTCAAAATTCCAAGAATTACGGGAGTTATAGAAAATCGTTAATAGGGGGGGAGTGGGGGGGTGGATCAGAAAAAATGAACAAACTCGTCCTTTCTCGGTCTCAGGAGAATCTGTATACCAAGTTTGGTTATTCTAGCTCTTATACTTTCGGAGATCCTTGCGTTCATACAGACAGACAGACGGACAGACAGACGGACAGACAGACGGACAGACGGTCAGACGGACAGACGGACAGACGGACATGGCTATATCGACTCGGCTTGTCATGCTGATCAAGAATATATATACTTTGTGGGGTCTACCAAGCCTCCTTCTGTGTGTTCCATGTGCACTCGCACAAAACTAATATACCCTTGTACCCTTTGGGTACAGGGTATAATAAACCCAACACGTAATTCATTAAAATAATAATCTGGTTTCATTATATACGAAAACTCAGACATATATTAGAACTATTTATCTCTTACACATAATTCTCAATAAAACTTTATATTTTTCGAAGTCCCATCCGGCAGTGCTTTTTCTAATGAATTAATATTTCGAACATTTCTATATAATTAAAGCAAATACTTACAAATGAGTTGAATTCGATGAGATGTTTGTTATTCAAAAGAGCAATTAAAAGCTAATTTACATTTTTAAATATTTCTTGTTCCTGTTAATGGCGTGTTTTATCGTCATCTATGGTACAGAGTATTTAAAAGGTAATAAATGGTAAATAAATTTGTTTTATCAAAAGGCTTATCAATTATGGTAGCGCTGTTTTCTCTCTCGTTAATCTCATAGTGCAGAGTATTTAAAAGTCGTGGGCGTTTCACTCTACCATTTTATTTTTTTGCTTTTTCTTTTGTTGTTGTTGCTGTTGTTGTTCGCAACAGTCCCAAATCCAAAATCACAGAGCTGAGCGCCTACGCTCGCTTATCGGTGCCTTTACAAATC